TTACCCTAAGGCATTACTTTCAGCACACACCTCACAGGCATATTGCACACCAGTGTTTCATGTGTATCAGGCGTGAGAAACATAAACAGCAGTTGCTGCCTGGTTTTGCTTTGCTAAATATTTCAGTTCCCTTAATCTTTGCTTAGAGCACTATGTGGTATGATAAAAACACTTTGTAAAGGAGGTTTATTTTGAAGAGCCTGAATTTGCAACTCTCCCACCCCAGTTCTGTTTTTTTTTCTATTTTTTTAATTAAAAAAGGCAGGAGGGGAAGCTACATGCTTTAGGAAATTGAACTCTACTTTTGTATTGAGAAAAAGATAATCAAAGCAAGTGAAGAAAAAGAATGGCTTTGAATGCAAGATTCTGGGTCAGGCAGGTATTTATATAAGTGGCTAAATTCTTCATCTTAGAGTAGCCAGATCAGAAGGTAAAGATATCGAGAACTTTCACGCAGCATTTTCGGAGATTTTTTTCCCATGTCCACTCAAAATGATGAAATATTACATTGAAACTCATCTTGGTTAGCAGTGTTTTAATTTTTAATTTTACTGTCATGGCTGAGGCACTGCATATGTGCAAACTGTTGTACCTTATGCCTGGTTCAAAGATGGAAATTAAGAAAGCAAAGCGCTGTCAAAGAGCTTGGGAGGTTACCTTGGGTTCAGGAATTCAGCTGAGCAGATTTACCATAGGGTCAAGGGCTGTCTGTGACTGGCTAGGCACAGAATTATCTGGGTTGTGAGTGTTCGTAGGCAAGAATTGGCAGCATGCTCACCAGGAGAGGATACAAAGACTGTGACTACTTGTTTCACATCCAGTTGGTTAAAGATGTGCCACTCCCTGAAAAGAGATTACCACCCCAAAGCTTAATTTCAGGGTAGAGGCAGACAGGATGGTTTAAGACACAAATGTGAACTGAGTCTAATCTCCCTAATTTTTTAATTTTGTGGGCTGAGTCCTGCATAAAGTTTTCTGCCTCCATATTCTGTTGTAGCCTCCAGCATTACTTGAGAGAGTTACGTTGCCAAGGAACAAAATAAATGTATTCATGGCCACATGAATTGACACCTAGAGGAAGAAAAAATTAGAGTTGGTAGTGATAGGTGGGAGCGTGAGCTGGTAAGAAGTGGGTACACAACACCATTCAGTATTTTGATGAGCATTTGAAATTAGATTTCTTAAGGGTTTAAGAGCTAGTCTGGGAACTGATGGGCATTTGAAGGTACAGACCCTGAAGAGGGCCTCATCTTCATAGCAGGACTGTTTAAAGTCTCTGTATTCTGCCTTCTTTGTCTAGAGTCCTTCCAGTACCACCCCTCCCATCGAGATCTGCTCTTCGCGCCTGACAAAACTGATGCGCCGCACCACTGATAAAAAGAGCGAATTCCTGAAGGCACTGAAAGATGATAGGAATGGGGAGATAACAGAGAACAGAGAATGCGACAAGCTGGATGATGTAAGATCACTGTACCCCTTGTCCCGTGTTGTCCATCCATCCTCCCCCTTCTCTCCTCATACATACACGATCATGATGTATTGAAAGAGTTGGGTACAGAAAAAAGCAGTGTGTGTAATTCAGGCTGTGGTTTAGGAAATGACTGACTTCCATCGGGCTGACACACATGCTAGCAGAGGTAGTGCAGAGCACTGAGATGAAAGGAGATGTGTAACGTGCTGAAATGCAAAAGGATAAGTAATAAATGAGGTGGAAGGGAAGGTGACAGCGAAGTTAATCTAGAGTCTTGAAAGGATTCTCTCAGGGGTTGAACAATTCCATACTTTAAAGTCTTAGCTTATTTTCAAACTTCCTTGTCAAACTGCATTCACGGGAAAGCTGAACTCATTGCTTGCAAAAAGTGCAGGATAGTGGCTGAAGCCTCAGGCTTGGATCAGAACCCTGAATGTGGAAGTCTGTGGCTTAATGTGTATGTAAAGGACATCTCTAAGAGAGGAGTATTCTTGCTTTTCGTATTCTCTTTCTGAAGCCGCTGATTACAGCTTTGTAATGCCAACACTTACTCCCTTTACATCAAAGTGCAGTCTACCAAAGTGATATATCATGTTGTCTCATCACAGATAGGTAGAAATTGCTTTTAAGCCACTGTCAGCCCAGGCTGTTTTGAAAGCACTGACTAGAGGTGAAAAGGCTTTGATTTACCCCCAAGAGCAGAAGCTTGAACTTCAAACTGTGCTGTCAGCGTGGTCTGTACACTTTACTTCTTTTTTTCTTTAGATGGAGAGCAACAGCACACCAGAACCAAAGGAAAATTGGGAAGAGAATTGCCATCAAAATGGCCTTTCTCTTCCTTTGCCAGAAGAGGGGGAAAACCTCTCTCACTCATTGGAAGCAGAACACAGGTAAGGAAATGGAAAAACAAGGTGTCTGGAGTAAGGGAGGGTGAGTCCTTGGACATGTGTGAGGAGGAAAATTATTGCAAAGAAAATTCTGGGAAGTGCACAAAGCTGGACTAGAGGTGTGGGCTTCATTACTAGTGCTGGGCTGGGTGGAGTCTTACTGAAAGTAAAACAAGATGCTGACAGCTGAGCCAAGACTTGGCCATGGTGTGTAATTAGGTTCCTGTACTCCTCTAGTGCCACATCCTTGTGTGTTAACACTGCCTAGATATTTACCTGCCTGCATGGTGGGGCAGCGCAAACCTAGCGTGATCCTGGTTAATATGTAAGTGGATGCCCTGTGTCATGATCTGGAGTATGAAGATACACACTCACACTTCTTTTACTGTCTGTACTTAGAATACTCTTGCGCTGCTTTAAATGCTGTAAATGTGGGAGAGAGTTAAGAAAGTATTTGCTTAGCATCTCAGCTTGTATCTTGTGATTAGGCAGTGTGTGAGTATCTGGTACGAGTGGATAGTAACTTTTAGAAGATCCTGAGCTAAGGTGCTGGATTGGTTGCGTCACATCTTCCTTCAGTGTCCTTGGGTAGAATTTCAAATTTCTGCTTTATTTTCTTTCTGCCAGACTAGCTATTTACCCATTGTACAGGACTGCTGGTGATTAAATATTTGTAAAAGACATGGAGTATGAAAAATGTTGGGTAAACACTAAGCATTGTTGAAGTGGTCTGTGATACAGAAGATTCCCTGGTGAATTTGAAGTAATGTAACACAGAACCTTGTGCTTCATGGAGAAACTGTTCTCTCCTTTGCCTTTGTTCCTTTGCTTTAATTCCTGTGCCCTTTTTCCACAAATTAGGTTATTGAAAGAGATGGGATGGCAGGAATATCCTGAAAATGATGAGAATTATCTTCCCCTCACGGAGGATGAGCTCAAAGAGTTCCAAATTAAATCAGAGCAGGTATGTTTCAAACTCCTACTACTTGTAACTGTTCTTCACTCTTTCCCTTCTTACACATCTCCTGTAGTATAGAAGACAACTAATGAAGCTGTAGTCCAGTTGATGACTCTATCCATACAGAGCATGTGTATATACGATTAAACATAGAACTGATGTCCACAGAGGATTAGGGACAGTTACTCTCCATACTCATGCTTATTTTAAAACTTGCTTTCATTTCTACAGCGAAGAAGAAACGGATTTGGGAAGAATGGATTTCTTCAGGGCCGCGGCTCCAGCCTGTTGTTCCACTGGAGAAGCACTTTTAAGACAAAGATTGAGGACTCAGACACAGAAACTAGTAGCAGTGAAACTTCAGATGACGATGCCTGAGACTGGGCACAAGAAAATTGAAATAAATAAAATCAACCCAATAAACTCAGTTCATAGTTCAACATGTGTTTGGGGTTGTATAAACTAAACAGAGTTTATTCTGTCTCCAGTCTGTTCAGTTTTTTCTTCTGTTGTTGATACTTCATGCACAAGGGAAATAATTGTATCCCAAAGAAGAGAGAAATTGGCTTCTTTAGCTTTTTCTTTTGGTTTTGCCCTAATGCTTATAGAAGTTTGTGCAGCTAGCAAATTTTGACAAAAATCCCTTGTGGGGCAGTGCACAAGTTCAGTCTTGTAAGCAGGATACCAGTGACTGACTGATCTTTGCAACAACAAGCTTCTAACAGTGCCGCCTGCATTACATAATGTCGTGCGGTAACAATGTGCTAAAACAATCATTGTCAATGACAAAATGGCTATTGAAGTTCTAATTATGTTAAATTAATGCTAATAACATGAATTTTTTATTTTATTTTTTTTTGGCGGCTCGGGGAGCTTCATCACTTAACCAGGCGTTTGTGGTTTTCTTTTTTGGGTACAGCTGTAAAATATTTGGATATAGGAATTGTTTGTGTTCTTCTTCTTGCAGCCTTGATATTCAGGGTGGATTGTAAAATATAAATTTTTTGTGAGATTTCAAAGATTAAGATTATTTTGATAACATTATTTACAGATTTAAAAAAGTGACTATCACATTGAGTCTGTATGAGGGGGAAAAACTACTGCATCAAAAATAACTAACTTGGAATAAATATTTTGCATCAGTTTGCCAATTCTAATTGTCTTTCTTATGTAAGAAAAGCTTTCCTTTAAAGGGACTTGCAACTTTGGGGTTCTGATAGCACTGGGGTTAAATAGCTGCTTCTCCCACTGTATTTTTTCCACTTGGCAAACATTGCTGTAGTGCTCAGACTGCAGAAGCTAAATTCTTCCTTTAAAAGGGGAGAGGGAAGACAATGGTGAGATGATAGCCCATGTTTGGTTTTGTCTTTTTTAAGAAAAGAAATGAAAATAATCTGAACTATCTTCCACTAAAGCAGTTTGCTTTTTTTTCCGCTTCATACAAAATAGTGAAGCTCGACTGGTCGGTGTCACTTCCTGTTCCTAGTGCAATGCTGCTGTTTCTGTTCACAACATGGCAAGGGTATGTCTGAATCCAAAGCTGTTTTCATTGAAATCTTTTTTAAAAATTCATGAAAACATTTCTATTAGATTAAAAAGGATTTTACAAACAACTCAGTTGTGGCCTAAGCTATTTCACTGTCTGTTTTAAGTTCAGCTTGTACACGAGCATTTTGGATCGGGAAGTATTTGCATGGTTGTCCACTGTTTGCAAGTTGGCTGGATGGAGTTGCACAGCAAATAAGAAATCCTGGGCTCACCGAGCTGAGGGGGAGACGGTCTGCCTTCAGCAGGGGCAGGATTTCACCATGGGTCTTGTTTTTCAATCCACTCCTGTGGATTGAAAGATGTGCAATGAAATTCTGGTGTTTAGCCATCTCTCTGCATCAGTACTCAGGGGAACATTTCTAGCTGATGTTCTCACTGTGCTTTTAGGCTCTGGGAGCTGTTGGTGGGGCCGGCCCCATGCCACTGCCCTCACTGCCAGCCCGGGCAGGGCCTGCCCAGCACCTCGGCACCTCCCTTCCCACCTTGGCAACCAAACACAGCCATAGCTGCCTCATCCTGAGCAGGTTGGTACTCCCTCACTCAGAGAAGGGCCCCAGCCCTGAGCTGGGTTCATGGGGGTGGGATTTGGGTGTTTTTCCTGCAGGGAGCCCGATGCCTGGCGCAGGAGCCTTCACCTGCCCTAGCTGCCGCATGGCGTTCAGCTCCCAGCCACTGCTGCGGGCACACCAGGAGCGGCTCTGCCTGGGGACACCGATGGACGGCGGCTCCAGGGGGGACCCCAGCAGGGCCCGGAGGCTGCAGGACCCCTCGGTACTATGAGATTGGGTCAGGCGCGGGGATGGGGACGTGGGTGAGGAAATGGGGTTCTGCTGGCGTCAGCTGGATATATCCCAGTCTGAGATGGGGCACGCTGCACCCCTCAGTGCTTAGTTTGGGAAAGACAGAAAAGTTTATGGTATTAAGCACTTTTTTTTGCCTTCTTGTTTACCTCCCTGAGGTTGGGATGCCCCAGCATGGAGACCGCGCCGAGCAGCGCCACCTCCTCCTGCTTTCTGGGCTCCCTCCTGCTATATTGGGACCACGGGGGCCGGGGCAAGCCCGGGGGGCACCCCTGGGGGACATCCTCACACCCCGTGAGAGGGCCCTGCTCCGGGCCACCGAGCCCCGTGTCCGCAGCCCCCAGCAACCCCCAGCCAGCAGGCTGAAGAAGGAGGTGAGCTCACCCACACGGGGTGCAGGCTTTGTCCCCAGCTTTGTCCCCAGCCCCGTGGGGCTCCTGACTCCCCCTGTGCCTCAGGGAGAGCCCAGCCAGGGGCACCCGCGGGCACCAGAGCTGCTGGAAGCCCACAAACACCACGTGGCCGAAATCCGGGCCAAGACACAGCAGCTGGAGCAGCAGCGAGCAGGTAGGCACTGGTGGAGGTTTTGGGGTGATGGGGCTGTGGTTCGTGGGGTGACCCGTCCTGCCCCCCCGCAGGGCTGTGCCAGCGCCTGGCGCTGCTGGCGGAGGAGCAGCTGCGGCCAAAGCCAAGGCGAGCCCCAGAGGTGCTGCAGGGTGAGGCCGGGCACCCATACGGAGGGTGAGTCCCAGCTGGGGCGAGCAGGGCTCAGCACCCCTCCAGGGGAAGCACCCAGGCTGCTCCCCAAAAAGGCTCCCAGTTGCTCCCAGTTTCCCCGTTTCCACCCCAGGCCCACCCTCCTGCCGCCCGTGGGGCCGCTCGCTGCTGAGGCCAGGTGAGAGCCGAGGGTGGGCGGGCGCCCAGCGGAGCCCCCACCCCATCTGACAGCGGTGCCGTGGCAGGGCCCTGACGCTGTCCTATCTGCGCAGCGGTGGCCACGACGCGGCCATCCTGGCCCAGCTGCTCGACCTCCAGGTGGAGGCCACGGCGCTGGAGAAAAGGGTCACAAAGAGGACAGGTAAGAGGCAGCCCTGATGCAGATCCCAGCCTGGGGTTGTGACCCCCTTCTGTCCCCACTGAGGCACCCCCGGCCCTGCCAGCAGAGCGCCCCAGGGCCTCAGGCACTCAGGACCTTGACGCGATGCTGCTGGCCGTGGAGCTGGAGAACCAGAGGCTGGAGGATGAGCTCCGGGCACTGAAGGTCCGGCAGGCGAGGCGAGCTGATGCCAGTAGGTGTCTGGGCGATGGGGAACCCCCTGACTGCCTCCCCACAGCACCCCACTGCCTGTGGGCTGGCAGCCAGGTGAGCACCCCGGGCCCACAGTGACGAGCTCCTGTCCCCAGGCTCGCTGGCGGCCCAGCAGCAGGCGGAGGGCCTGGCCCGGCTGCAGGCAGAGGTGGGGATGCTGAGACGCCAGGCAGAGGGGACGGGGCCGCGGGCGATCCCCCCCGTCCTCCCACCAGCCCGGGCTCTGCCGGGGTTTCTCACGGTAAGAGCATCGTCCCTGGGTGCAGAAGATCCCCTCACCTCAGCCGGGCATTTCCCAGGGAACTGATTCAGGATTTGTTCCCTTGGCTGCAGCAGGATGTATTTTCTCCCCCCCAGGTGCTGGACTGTGGGCATGATTTGCTTTGTGCCCACAGCCCCTCTTCCCATTCCCATTAACGCCAGATTTTTCCTTCCCCAGGAGGCTCCGGGACCAGCCCTGGGGCCCGGCAGCCCCTCAGCCCCCAGCCGCCTGCCCGCTGCCCCCATCCTCCCCATCGCAGCCCTGGAGGACCCCCCTCCTCCTCGGGAGCCACCAGCAGAATATGAACCGCCCCCGAGGTGAGAAGGGGACAGGGTGGGGCAGGAAATTGGGGCGTTATTAAACACCAGAGTGATAAAGGGAGGGCAAAAGCTGTTACAGCTGCGGGCTGGGGGTCAGCTGTGGAAGGGCGGTGTTTGGGGGATGTGCATTGGGCCATCCTGGGACCCAGGTGCTGGGAATTTCAGCAGCAGGGAAGGGGTGGGACGCGTTGTCAGTGCCCCCACACAAGGGTGATTTGTCCTGGCCAGCCTGGGGGACAGCAGGAGGGAAAGAGGAGCACAACTTTTCCTCCCCCCACTCCCTTTCCCTGCTGCTCACCCCTTCAGACGCATCCCCAGCCACTTTTAGGAGAAGCTTCACACGCAGTCCTCATGGCTCAAGCCAGGAAGCAGCAAAAACCACAGCAAGATTTCCTCCCGCGTGCTGGAGGCCCCGTGCTGGGTGTTTAATAAATGGCTTCCCTTGCTGCTCGTCACTTCTCAGCCTTTTTTGACAAATGTACCTGTCCCTGAGCCAGGCGCAGGCTGCGCTGTGCCCCCTCCACCACCAGGCCCTCCAAGCACAGCAGGGCAGAGCAGAACCCCTGCCCCAGCCCTGAGGATACAGAAATTCATGCCCAGCACTAAAGCACTGCAGAGTTTTGGGTCTGAGTTGTGGCCACGGCTCTGCTCTGATCCCATCCCAGGATGAACGTAATCAAATGCAGCAGTTTGCCCACAGCAAGCCAGAAGGGATGCAGGGAACACAACCTCCAGCACAAACAGCCCTGGGAAAGGCTTCAGGGCAGGGGAAGCACCACCAAGCGCTTGACCCCTGCTCCCTGTGAACAGAGGCATTGTGGCAGAGCAGAAGGGCACAGGTGCAGGTTGAGCACTGGCTGCAGGGGCCAGACAAGCTCTTATCGCACCTCCCCAACACCCCCAGGGCCAGGGGAGGTGCTACAGCAGCAGGCCAGCTTTGCCCAGGAGCTGCAAGCCCAACAGGGGCTGGGGGGAGATCTGCACCCCCAGGGCAGTGAGGAGCAGAGGGGGGAGCTTTTAAGGGGAAGGGCAAGACAATTTGCTTACAATCTTTATTGAAGTCATACAAAAGTTGCCAAAAAGTGAAAAAATACACTATATACAAAACCATTTTCCTTGTAAGGAGAGGAGTGTCCGAGGTTAAAGAATTATCATACTGTGCTTTCAACTGTAGCCCCTGATTCTGCTTGTGGCCTCTTCTCTGCCTGAAAGAAAAGAGAAGTATTGGATTTAAGAAACAGAACAATTAGTGCATTACAGCATCAATTCATGCAGCATTCACTGTTTTTGCAGTTTGAAAACAAAACTAGGCATGCTTTGCTGGTCTTCAGAGCCCAGAACTACAACAGCCGTTAACAATTGTAGCCCAGGTGAGAAATATTAAAACCCTGGAGCACTCTGCTGCACAAACAGGCCCTGTGCTGTTCAGCCCAACAAGCCCCAGAGCCCCAGCACACACATTCCCGTCCCTCCCATCAGCTGCGCAGCCTGTTATCTGCCCAGCTCACTTGGTGTCAGACACCACAGCACAACGTGCAGCCCAGCAGCTTGGAACACTCCCCCTCGTGCAGGAAACCCTGTGAAGACCAGCAGGCAATAAAACCAGCCAGGCACAAAACCACTCCTTAACAGAACAGGAAACAAACAAAAAGAAACAAACACAAGGCACCATGTCCTGACTCTACTGCCCACCTCCTCTTCCATTTTTTCTGCAACCTCCTTTCCACTGGGGGCAGCAGCAGCACCACCACCATTGACAGCCGGTTCTGGTTTAGATTTCTTAGCTTCATTGTCTCCCTGGTGAGTCTCCTCCTCTGGTTTCCTCTGAGGACAAAATTGTTTAGTCTTCACTATGGACAAATGTAAGTGTTTTTAGAAAGTTAGCATCCAGATGTCATTGCACATTATCTACTCAACCTTCACTTGCCAGATTCAAGACAAATACTTTAGTAGGATTTAACCAAAGCTCTGAAGCTTTGGCACAAAGGTCTCAATCACAAAGTATAACCAGGAGGATATTATTTCATTACTAGCATCTATAATGCTGAATTATCCTGAGTTAGGGTTTGGCAGGGGAACATGTTAACGCTGTGATTGTAAAAATCATTCCATGTAATTCCAGGCTAACATAACTGACAAGGCTGTGCCACAACACCATACAATATAAAGAACAATATCCCATGTGGGATAATTTTAGCAATATCAGAAATTGTTCTGGGGGGGAAAAGAAACAAAAACTATACATTGAGCACTAGGTTCTTTTAAAATATCTTATTTTCTTGTTAAGAGGCAATTTAGCACAGCTATACAGTTGGACTGGCTTTGGTATTTTGCAAGTCCAATTCTCCATTTCCACTTGGAAAGAAGGGAATCCAATTCAGCCTGGTTAATTGCCTTTAATTTTCAAGATCTACACACTGCCCTGCTCTTCTTGCGGGCTCTCAGCAGAGCAGGGCATTTGCTCAGAGAACTCCTCCACAAGCCACACAATTCAGCTCTGGTTAAACCAGTGTGGGTCAGGCAGGGAGCTGAACCATCACCAACTATTCTCCTGGAGGCTGGATGGTTCCCAGACTGATTAGCTCCCAGTGGAAAGGAGTTTCACACACCATCTCTTATTACTTTTAGAGTGTTTTTCTTTTTCCAGGTGTTACAGAACTAAGTTGAGAAAAAGCCTTAAGCTAAGAAATCCAACTAGAGGTTAAGCCAGGGGTACTTTAACCACCTGTTTATTCAACTCGTCATTTCTGAACTCACCTTTTTCCTGACCAGGTGAGAGATGTCTGTAACACACTGAGATGCTCCATCTGCTGCTTTTCTAACTGGAATCTATTACAAAACAATGACACATCACTAACAGCAAACAGCAATCTTTAGAGCAGTCACGAATTCTCAGCATCCATCTTTGCTCGACTTACTGTGGAAACCGAACCACTGTCTTCACTTTGTGCAAAGCCAGACGTAGTTCCAACCTTAAGAAAAGCAGAAGATAACAGCTAAGCAGCACGTTCTGCCATCTCTTCCCACAAGGCCAATGCACTAGTTTAGTAAGTTGCAGAAAACCCAACTCCATGTCTTAACTTTATATTCTGCTTCTACACTTACATACAGGATAGAAGAAAGGTTCACGTAGCGATGTAACACTCATTTAAGTCTCACATTTGACTATCATTTTTAGCCTTTAGGTATTTAATTACTCGAGAAGCCTACCAAAGTCCAGTTCAGTTTGGAGCAATTCATTTCAGCGTTTTTCCTATTAATCTTTTCAGATGTCATCTGTCTTAATTCCCTTCTTGATCTGAACTTTTCCCATCACTGGTTTACTTCAAATCTCACTGAAAGGATGTTTGCTTGAAAGGCAACAGCAGGATGTACTCACCAGAGTCGCTTTCAGTGCCAGCTCAGCTACTCTTGCACTCTTTTGAGACTCCTTTGAATCCTCTATCTTTTCTTTGATTTCAGGGAGAAGTCCTTTTAATTCTTCGATCTCCTTCTCATCTTCAGGGGACCCACTTTCTGACTTCTTTATTCGTTCAGTAAGCATTGCTAGAACGACATAGTTATTAGGGCAAAAACCCCTCCACACCAAGTCCCTGTTCGGTTATCAGTTCCCAGAGGCAAGTGCCCACCAGCAGGTGCTGTTTGGCTGTTCAGACGTTAGGCTGGGCTGTTACCAAACGTTCGAATGACAAGGTAATAAGCAGACGTAATTGCTGGCAGGGCAATTAACAAAGTCAGTTCTGATTTGGGAAAGCTCTCTGTTGGGCTAGGCAATTTCGGACATCCACTCACCCATTCTCTTGTCGATGACTTCTACGGATTTGCCAAACTGCAGCACCGCCTCGTCGAACTGGCTGTTGTAGTGGTAGGCCAGGGCCAGCTGGTAGTGGCTTTCGGCAAGCAGGCGGTCGTGAGCCTCCAGGTACTTCTGCTGCAGGGCCAGACAGGCCTGGAACTCCTCTATAGCCTGCACATAGTTTTCTATAGGAGCAAGCCATACGGTCTTTACAAACAAGATGCATTTATCTAAGCACCATCCACACCCTTATTCAGTTACTACGTATTTTATTCCACTTCTTTAAGTCCAAGAAGAGAAGTAGCAGGGAATGTAAGCTGAGCTCAGCGACAGGCTGCTCTCCTGTTGGCAGGTGACAGCGCTCACAGTCCAACACTGCCATCCCCTCATAAAAAGATCGAGTCCATTTTCTCGAGGTGCTTTGTCTATTTACAATACCACAATAAACTAAACAGGCAAGCTAAAACCTGCCACACTAATCCTGCTGTTTTACCTATCAGTTGAATATAACCAGGCAGAACTGCAGCTGAGCTGGAGGTGAGTGGTCCCCTGCCACCTTCCAGTCCAGCACCCCACTGACACAAAACACAACCCTCACTGTAACCCTTGTCCAGAATCCTGTCACATTATTTCCAATGATGACACATTTTATTTAACAAGATCAAATACAAAACAAACATGTTTTCAAGTGAAGGGCAGACAGACATGTTAGAAGGCACAAACCTGCAGCTTGCTACCTGTTTTCCTGGTGCATCAGGGTCTTTCCCAGCTGCACCACACCATTTTAGGAAGTCTAAAATCATCAGCCATTTATTCGCAGTCTTTACGTTCCAGAAGTGGCTTGGCACGTGACACTTCCCTCTGAGCTCAGTGACTGAGTACTTCCATAAGGAAAGAGTCTTTCCCAATTTCTGAAGCTAACCAAGCCCTGCCTATGAAACAGCCTCGTGCTCTGCTCTAACACCTGCTCTTACTCAACTCTTCCTCCTGCTCTTCTGGAATAGCACGGAATACCTGTTTAAGGAACTCACTTGTTCATCCATTGATTAAAAAGGCTTCTCGTGAGGCTGTACTATTATAATTAGAAAAAATATGTGCCTCTTCGTCTTATCAGACTGCAGTCACCTCTACTCATTCTGAAGTATGAAATAGGAAGTGACAAAATGAAACCCAGCACTTGATAGGTAAGAATTAGCACTGCTTACCAGATTCAATGCTGACTTCTCCTAGCTTTAGATGAGCCTGAGCTGCATGGAGCTGAGCTTCTTTTGTTTCTTTTCTAAATCAAGAAAAAAAAACATTTCCATGAGAACACCTAAATACCTAGCATTATGCTTACACCGCCTCCCAGCTCCCTCCCACTCTCTCACAGACAACCAAATTGCAGATTCAGTTTTTACCTCTTGTAGATGACTTTCGCTAACTCCAGCATGTCCCAGGCTAGCTCAAGATTTCCAATTTCTTCCTCCTCACTTTCCTGTAAAGACTAGAAACGCACGTTTACGTTGTTAGTTGATACGGCCTTTCCCCTCTGCTTCCCAGAAATAACAGGGCACCAAGCACCAATATTATCCTGAGAGTAAGACTGAGGTTTAAGTTGCTATTAAGATAAGCTAATCACTATAGGTTCCTTTTTTTTTCCTCAAATGCTTTTGAGCTCCATTAGAGTAGTCTGAGGCAGAGATATTCTGTTTAAGACAGGTGCCTATCATGCTTCACACCATTCAGATAGGGCTCAGATTTCTTCAACATGAAATGCTCCATCAAGCTAACTCCTCAGATTCAAGCAGCACAACACTTCCCAGTGAATTCCCCATCTTAATCATGACTTATTGGACTGGGTGCACTCGATGCGTACAGTGAGACAACAGCAGAACA